TGTGATGATGCCTGGCGCAGTGGCTTTGCACTCACGGGAGCATATTCTAGGTTGGCGTTGTGGTTGGCCACATGGTTCAAAATATCTGCTACAGGCACCATCATGGGAGGATTGGGCCCCTTCTCATCTTCATCTTCCTCCTCCAAAGGTTCCTGAAAGCTAAGACAAGGGAGATTAAGACAAGCCAGTTGTACACCTTGCAGCATAGAGCAAGCTTCACCTTATACTTACTTAAAAGGTTGCAGTCACACAAGTATGTAACACAGCCTATGATCTTTTCTGTGATCCTACTGCTTGTCCTTGCTCCTGGTTGGAGCAGAGCCCTCAGTTCTCACCTGTAGGCCATGACAAATGCCACCAGCTGCTTGTACAACTCCAGTGTGTGCAGTTTGGGGTCAAAGATGTTGGGGTGGGACTCCATGAAAGGCAGGATGATGGAGCTGTACTCCAGGTGGATGTTAGCCAGGTCCTTGTCCACAGCTTCTGGGATGCCCGTGCCTTGCAGGAGCCTTGTTCGTTCTTCTTCAGGCCTGTTGAAAGGAAAAACAAAATAAAAAACAAACAGGTTTATCTCCATCTGCCCTAGGCAGAAGGGTCTGTCAACTCCTTCCTCCTTCACAATCTCAGAATCCTGTTTTCTGGTTATGCCTGTAATTAGCTCCAACCCCAGGTAGTGGCTGAGAGGGGCTCTCAGGCTACAGCCATTGACAGCAGAGGGCTAGAACAGAGGGATGGAGTCATCTGGTGGGACCACATCCATCCCCAAAACTCCTGGTCAGCAGCCCCTGGGCTGCACCTGCCTTTAGCTGTCACATTGGGCCACCCTACAGCCCTGCTTGGTTTTACCTTACCAGAACATGGGGTGATCCAGGCTCCTGAAGTCCTGCCAGAGGGAGAAGTAAGGCTGCCACTGGGAGTTGCTGGCTGTGTACTCGTATAGCAGGGCCAGCAGCAGCGGCACCCAACCGGACTGGCTCTGCAGGGACTCCTGGGCTAAGGAAGCGGGGATGATGGAGAAAAAGTAAGTTGAGCTGAGGTTTTGGTCCTTTTCGTCTGAGAACAAGTCTTCTAAGAAGCAAAGCTTGGTCCTACAACCCTCAGCCTGTGGTCATGGGTTTCCCTTTTACTCTGTCAGATCTCTAGCAGAACCAGAAGCTGCTGCTGCTCTGGAGCCATGGCTAAGCCAGACACCCTGCTACCCACACACCGCCTCCCCCTCAGCCTAAGGCTCTGGGTGTCTTCAGTGAGAATGGAACTGTGCTTTTCCCTAGTGGTGTCTGGTCCTAGGCCTTGAGGAAAGCATCACCAAGGGCGTGGCTGTCACTCAGCACCCCCAGTACTGCTGTTAACCGGCTTTTCTCCCTGCCTCCCACGGCTCCAGGCTCCCGCAGGCACCACTGGGGTGCCCAGACCCCCCCCTTTCCTGGCCGCTGCCTAACACCCCTACACCCCCCTGGTCGGGCACCCTGCACCAACCTTCATCCCCCCGCCCGTTATTCCTTCCACCTGCGAAGGAAGGTTGTCTGCCCGAGCACAGCTCACCGTCCTGCAGGAGGGCGCGGATGGGGCTGGTGTGCTGGGAGAGCAGGGCCGAGCGAGGGACGCTGACGAGGACCTCTCCGGCCTCCAGCTCCTCGGCCGCCAACATGCCGTATCCTGCCACCGCCCCCTCCCTGCTCAGACGGACCTTGGGCGAGAGGGGAGCGGTGAAGAAGCGGGGAGGGAGGAAGGAAAAGGAGGTGGGGGGTGGAGGGCCACGGCCGGCGCTGCCTCACCTTCGGGTTGAGCTTCACCCCGGCCCGCCCGCACCACGCCAGGAAGGCGGAGAGGGGGTCGGCGCTGCCCTGTCCCCGGCCGCTGCTCCCGGCCGCTGCCTGCGGGTGAGAACGCGGCGGGAGACTCGCTCCAGCAAGGAGCGGACGAGGAAAGCGCCGGGGCCGCGCCCGGACGCCCCCCCTCCCCCCCCC